TCAAAACATTTAACCTGAAAGGGGTCTTAATTTATTATTTTAACAAATGTACTAATTTAAATACTGCTTCGTGATTTTATCAGCTAATGAAAATTAAATTTGATTATTTTTCACAGTTCAGATTTTTCACAGATTATTGAGTACATTTTACAAGACCATTTATGGTCATTATACTTCAAAATTTCATGTTTACTTGCCGATTCTTTGCAATTATTTATAAAACTTTACTAGCGGTTTCTGAGTGAAAATGGTTTCAATGTGAATCCTTGACCATTTGTTTTTCAGTGTAATGAAACTGTGGTGTTTGTAGAAGTGTCTAGTTTTGGGCAGGACGTGTTCTCAGCATCAGTGAGTGTAACCCGTCTGTGTTTCAGGGTGAACGACAGCATTCTGTTCGTGAATGACGTGGATGTGCGTGAGGTCACTCACAGTTTAGCGGTGGAGGCGCTGAAGGAGGCGGGGCCGATCGTGCGGCTCTATGTGCTGCGACACAAACCGCCTGCGGAGAACATCACAGAGCTGAAGCTCATCAAGGGCCCTAAAGGTGCGTGAGCTAGCGAGGGAGGGAGGGAGGGGGCGGGGCTGACCTTCAGCTCTTCTGATTGGCTGAGCCTCTGCCGCAGGTCTGGGCTTCAGCATCGCGGGCGGCGTGGGGAACCAACACGTCCCCGCAGACAACAGCATCTACGTCACCAAGATCATCGAAGGAGGAGCCGCGCATAGAGATGGACGACTGCAGATCGGAGACAAAATCCTCGCTGTGAGTTTGAACAACAAAGATCAGGATGAGTTTGTTTCTTCATCAGGTTTGTAGAAGTGTAGCATTGCATCAGTGTCTCAGCAATGGATGCTCTGCAGTGAATGGGTGCCGTCAGAATGAGAGTCCAAACAGCTGATAAAAACATCACAATAATCCACAAGTAATCCACAGCACTCCAGTCCATCAGTTAACATCTGGAGAAGACAAAAGCTGAAACTAATCCAGCATTAAGACCTTTTTAACTCAAATACATAGAGTCCATAATCCATAATAACTCTTCCTCCAGTGAAAAAGTGTTCTGGTGTGAATCAGGAGAGAAATCTGCACAGATCAAGCAGCGTTTAAACAGCTCTAAACACTTATGTGGCTGGATTTTGATGTGAGAGACAACAGCAGATGCACTTTTTGTCACTGGAGGAAGCGTTATTATGGATTATAGACTCAATGTATTTTAGTTAAAAACGTCTTAATGCTGGATTTGTTCCAGCTTTTGTCTTCTCCAGATGTTAACTGATGGACTGGAGTGCTGTGGATTACTTGTGGATTATTGTGATGTTTTTATCAGCTGTTTGGACTCTCATTCTGACGGCACCCATTCACTGCAGAGCATCCATTGCTGACACGCTCTTACAGAGTCTGTTTCTGTAATGATTCAGACCAGCACAAACATTACAAAACGTATCACATGGTGTTCGCAGGGAGCCGCGACGTGTGGTCATTCTCAGGGGTTCCACGGGTTTGGGCTTTAATATTGTGGGTGGTGAGGATGGTGAGGGGATCTTCATCTCCTTCATTCTGGCAGGAGGAGCGGCTGATCTGAGCGAAGAGCTGAGGAAAGGAGATCAGATCCTGAGTGTACGTCACACACACACACACACACACACACACTCACACACACACGCACACACATGTTGTGTTTCCATGGGACATTTGGTCCCCATAACGTGATAAATACCAGGAACACATTCAGATATATACAAATATATAAGTAACTTTATAATGTAGGGAGAACAATTCACTTTCATCATTTGCAAATATTCATAATTTGTTTAAAGAGTGGATGCAATGGATTTTATTGTGGAAAAAAAGGATGGAGTTTTTACTTCCAGAACATAGTATGCATTGCTGTTCAAATGAAGGAGCCACATGTAAGTCACTAAGACTTAAAGAAACAGCATCCATCACTACTCATTACAAAACCTCATTTCCAGGCTCTTAAATTAATTATATCTAAACAAATTATTGCTTTCTCTTCATTTATCAGTACGTGTCCCTCATTCTATGCTAAATGTCCTGCTAGGATCAGGCTGACAGTGTAGGTCAGAATGTGTTATTACACATACACACGCACACACACACACACGTACACGCACGCACACACATACACACACACACACATACACACACACACATACACACACGCACACACATACACACACGCACGCACGAACGCACTCTCACTCACTCACACACACCACTGACACACACACCCTGTCACTGCAGCGTTGCTGTAACGTTGTTGTGATGCTGCAGGTGAACGGTGTGGATCTGCGTCACGCGACTCACGAGCAGGCGGCGGCGGCGCTGAAGAGCGCAGGACAAACCGTCACCATCATCGCACAGTACAGACCCGAGGGTGAGACGCGGAGAAATCCAGCCTTATTAACCCTGTCCTGACACACCGGATCACCGCATCATGTGTGTGTGTGTGTGTATGTTTAGAGTACAGCAGGTTTGAGGCGAAGATTCACGACCTGCGGGAGCAGCTGATGAACAGCAGTTTAGTTTCTGCAGCGGCGTCATTACGCAGCGGGAAGAGAAGCTTCTTCATCAGGTACTGAAGACAGAAACACACACAGAGTCCAGAACAAACCACACACAAACACACACACACACTCTCTCACACACACACACACACACACACACAGAAACACTCACACACAGAAACACACACACACACACACACACAGAGTCCAGAACAAACCACACACCTGCCAACGACCGATGACTTCGCAACATTTACTGCTCATGAATACTGTCTTCATTAAAAAACAGCCGGTTACTACTGCTACTGCTTACGGCTCAACCATTTGGAGAAACAAATCAAATTTAGATTTTTTTTTCTACACTAATAATAATAACTACATATCTGTCTCTAAGATTACAACTAATATTTTGGAGGGTAACATCTGTCAGAAATGAGTAGGAAATGTAGAGGCTCCTGCTTTGAGTGACTTCAGCACATCTGCAGGACTTCACTAGTTTCTCACACTGCGCTGCTGTGATCTCGGTCCACTCTTCTTCCAGAGCTTTTATTTTGGTGGAAGACTGCAGGGAGAATTCATGAAAAATTTCATTTTGTACTGATTTTTACTCACATTTGGTGCTTGGAGAGTGTTCATTTTGGGTCCTGAACGCACACATACACATGATGCTACTGGCACTGACTGTGTGTGTGTGTGTGTGTGTGTGTGTGTGTGTGTGTGTGTGTGTGTGTGTGTGTGTGTGTGTGTGTGTGTGCATGCAAGCCATCGGCGGTGAGTGAGTGTGTTTGAGTCTGGTGTGTCACTCACGGCGGGTCATGTGATGCTGACTCTGTGTGTGTGTGTGTGTGTGTGTGTGTGTGTGTGTTTCAGGACGCAGCGAATACATCGTCAGCTATGAGACGGTGATTCAGGCTGAAGGTGAGTCTCGCGTCTCTGAGTGACACTGCTGTCACAGTGTGTTCTGCTGACTGACTGTGATGTCATTTCCTGTCCCGCAGTGCACTACGCACGTCCCGTCATCATCCTCGGGCCAAGCAAGGACCGCGTCAATGACGATCTGCTCTCCGAGTTCCCCGACAAGTTCGGCTCCTGCGTCCCACGTAAGAACCTGGGTTATTTTCGTATCGTTGAGATACAGTTAGCAGCCGTTCACACAGAACACGTTTTTCCATTCCAGTGCGCTACTTTTCCATTGTTTTTCTATGTAAACTCACACTTGACGGACGTGCGTGACCGTTACGTTCGCGTCTTTTGCAGCGCCTCGAGTTTTTAAGACACTGTGTCAAGTTAAAAGAATTTCAACTTTTACACGCAGCGCCGCTCATCAATGTCAGTTTCAGAACAGTGGACCAATCAGAAGAATTTGGAGGCGGGGCAAGCGTCGCGAGCTTCTGTTTACAGTAGCAAGTTGGCATGACAACTGTTTTATTTGACGGCAGCATGATGGAGAAGGCGCTCATAATTATAAAACATTTCTTCAAGCGATTATAACAACTTGTTCCTTAAAACATTTCCGTTAAAGACGCGTTCTGTGTGAACGGCCCCTTAGAGTTTCTGTTTTATATTTTTGTATTTTGTATTTTAATTTTAGCTACATTTTAAAAAATGTTCTTGTAATTTTGTCGTTTTTATCAGAATTAGATTTTTTTTAAATGTATAATTTTTATTCTTTTTTTTTGTAACCATTTTAGTAGATCAAGTTAAACTAAATGAAAAAGAGAAATATTGCCTTAGCAGCTGGCTGAAAGAATATAACAGGGTTTCTGAAGGTCTTTAAGGCTGCATTTACACAAACGCTACATTATATCTCTCAGCAATGAGGTGAGAACTTAGCAGTTTATGTAATTAAACCAACAAGCTTCACGCTCACTCGTTCTCTCTCTCTCTCTCTCTCTCTCTCTCGTTAATTCATTCGAATTCATTTAAATAAACATCATCTTGGCACTACTTTATTTCACTAAAGAATTCCACCTCTAACGAGCTGTAGGTAAAATAGCCTAACAAATGAAAATTACCGTCATTATTGCGATCACTGCAGACAATCCTTTTGTGCGGGAATTAATTTAAACACAGATATCAGGTACCAGTCGTGTCTGAAGTCAATGTAAACAGACCTGCAGTGTAAATGCAGCCTAACAGTCTTAAGATTCAGCCTTCCTCAAATAAAATACAATAAAAGCCTAAAAAGGTCTTAAATCACAGCAGAGAGTCTTACATTCATAAAGTCATGGCATTAAATGTTCATTAATGAATCTCTTCCTCAGTGTTTCTGTCTTGTTTTCCAGCACAAATACCGAAACATCCTTAAATCAAGATATTTGAAATGCAAAATGAAGATATGAAGTCTTGTTTTCTAAGAAATTGAACAAAATGAAGTGAGTTTATGATTAAAACTCAGTGGGGAATGAAACCTTGTTTCCCTTTGAATTAAGTTGATTATTTTCTGACAGATATTTGTTCTCGTTTTATATTTTTATTAAATTGTGTTGAATTTCTCAGAAAGCAAGACTTATTATCTTCTGTCATTTTGCTTCTCTGGTAAATGTGTCATGATCTTTAGACATTTGAACTGGAAAGCAAGACAGAAACACTTTTACAGTCTGATCAGAAGATGTAGTTAAAGTTATTTCAGTACTTTCTTTAAGGTTTAGGTAAGTAATAACCCTGGTCTGAATGACCCGCGACACACACAACGAGCAGCACTTCTCCTTATAATCCACATATGACGATGATAAACTCTATGAATGGCAGTCGAGTGTTTGTTCGGACTGTTTTCTGCACACAAGACTCGCTGAAGAGGCTTCCTGTGTTTGACAGACACGACGCGGCCCAAGCGCGAGTACGAGGTGGACAGCCGCGACTATCACTTCGTGCCGTCACGTGAACAGATGGAGAAAGACATTCAGAGTCACCGGTTCATCGAGGCCGGACAGTATAACAACCACCTGTACGGCACCAGCGTCCAGAGCGTCAGACAGGTGGCAGAACAGCAGGCGAAGCACTGCATCCTGGATGTTTCAGCGAATGCAGTGAGGAGGTTACAGGCCGCCCAACTTCACCCCATCGCCATCTTTATACGACCCTCATCCCTGCAGAACATACTGTGAGTCTGAGAGTGTGTGTGTGTGTGTGTGTG